GTTTTGTTTACTTGACTTACCACCAGCAAAGAGTCGCATTTGGCTTCAATGACTTCTGCTCCCAAGTTTTTAGCTAGCTCGAGACCTGCAATCATGGCCTCATACTTGGCCTCGTTGTTAGTCAACCTGGTAGTTTTAATAGATTGCCTAATAGTGTTACCCGTTGGTGGCTTTAAAACTATGCCTAGCCCAGACCCCTTCACGTTCGAAGCCCCGTCCGTAAAAATGGTCCATACCCCCGATGACGTACCCAATTTCAACAGGAGTTATTTTTTGACTTCGGGCACGAGGGTTGGCGTGAAATCAGCCACAAAGTCTGCTAAAATTTGAGACTTGATGGCAGTGCGGGGTTGATATTCGATATTGTACCCACTGAGTTCGATGGCCCATTTGGCCAATCGACGTGATAGTTCGGGCTTGTGCAAAATATTACGAAGCGGGTAAGTGGTTAATACACATATGGGGTGACATTGAAAGTACGTTCTTAACTTTCTAGAGGCGCTTATCAGTGCATGTGCCAATTTTTCTAGGTGCGGATATCTAGTTTCTGCTTCTCGTAAGGTCCTACTTATATAATAAACAGGAAATTTTGTACCTTGCTCTTGCCGAACTAGGACACCGCTTCCTGCGATTTTCGATACTGCCATGTACAAGCAAAGTTTTTTGTCTGTTTTTGGAGTGTAAAGTCGTGGTGGGCTCGATAGATATCGTTTTACTTCCTCTAATTCCTGTTGGCATTCCGGGGTCCAAGCGAAATCGTTCTTCTTTTTGAGTAGAGAGAAAAATTTATGACTTCGATCTGATGATTTCGAAATGAATCGGCCTAAGGCTGCAATCCGTCCCGTTAGCCTTTGTACAACTTTCACACTGTCCACGATGGTGATGTTTTCGATGCCCTTGATTTTATCGGGGTTAATCTCGATTCCCCGATTTGACACCATGAAGCCGAGGAACTTTCCCGAACCTAACCCGAAAGCACATTTTTCGGGGTTCAGCTTCATGTTGTATTTCCTCAAAATCTCGAACGTTTCCTGCAAATGGGTCAAATAATCCTCTATGCGCAGGGACTTAACTAGCATGTCATCGATATAAACTTTCATTGATTTACCTATTTGTTCTTCGAATATTTTATTTACTAGGTGTTGGTAAGTAGCTCCTGCATTTTTTAGCCCGAAGGGCATCACATTTTAACAATATGTTCCATATTTGGTGACAAATGAGGTCTTTTCCTGGTCCTCCGGGTTCATCTGGATTTGATTATACCAGGAATAGGCATCGAGAAAAGTGAGGATCTTGTGGCCGGCCATGGCATCGATCATGCGATCGATGTTGGGCAGCGGAAAAGAATCTTTGGGGCATGCTTTGTTCAAATCCTTATAGTCCACACACATTCTAAGTTTGTTCCCTTTTTAGGCACTACAACTACATTGGCTAACCATTCGGGATATTTCACCTCCCGAATAGACCCTATCTTGAGAAGTTTGGTTACCTAGTCCTTTATGAATGCGTGCTTTACCTCGGACTGGGGTCTTCTCTTTTGCTTCACCGGTCTGAATCTAGGGTCCAAGCTTAGCCGATGCATCGTTATGTCTGGTGGGATCCCTGTTATATCTAAACGGGACCAGGCAAAGTAATCAATGTTATCGATAAGAAATTGAATAAGTTTCTTCCTGAGTTCGGGGCTCAAACCCGTTCCCAGGTATACCTTCCGTTCGGGACAGTGCTCGATTATTGTGACTTGCTCCAGTTCGTCAATCGTTGATTTGGTGGCGTTGGAGTCATCGGGAATCACGAAGGATCGAGGGATCCTCTGATCATCATCTTCTTTGATTTTCTGGTTATCTGGTTGGGTCAAAGCCGATGTCTGTGATTGTTATTTGGTATCTCGTTCCCCTTCTGAGCCCGATCCCTTTACTGGAGAAGGCGAGGATACTGGTTTCGCTTCCTCGACGGTGAACATTCCTCTTGCCGTTGGTTGTTCTTCGTACACTATTTTGACTCCCCTCGATGTTTGGAATTTGAGGACCTGGTGTAGGGTTGAAGGTACAACTCTCATGTTGTGGATCCATGGCTTTCCGAAAAGGGCGTTGTATCTCATGTCGCCTTCGATCACGTGGAACTTCATTTCCTGGATGGTTCCGGCCACGTTTATTGGTAGAATTATCTTGCCTTTGGTGATTTCACATACCATATTGAATCCGTTTAGAACCAGGGTTGCGGGTACGATCTGGTCCTGCAGGCCGAGCTGTTCTACGACCTTCAATCTGATGATGTTGGCCGAGCTACCTGGATCAATCAACACACACTTAACTTTAGTTTTATTCATGAGTACAGATATTACCAGTGCATCGTTATAAGGTTGTATGACTCCTTCTACATCTTCATCATTGAAGGACAAAGTTCCTATGGGTGTGTAATCTTGAGTTCGAGATCGCCTTTCTCTCACAATCGATGTCTTAGTGCGTTTAAGCACTGGTCCCTGAGGGGTATCGGCGCCGTCGATGATCATGTGAATGACGTGCTGTAGTTATTCTTGTTCGTTTTGCTTGCCGAAATCCCTGTTTTTAAAATAGTTCTTTGCCCTATCGCTAAAAAATTCTCGAAGGTTCCCTTTGTTGAATAACCGGGCTACTTCCTCTCTTAGTTGCCTGCAATCTTCCGTTCTATGGCCATGGGTGCCATGATATTCGCATATTTGATTGGGATTCCTCCGGGCAGGATCGGTCTGCATGGGTCGAGGCCATTTAGTGTCTTTGATGTGTCCGATAGCCGAAACGATAGCGGATGCATCAATGCTGAAGTTATATTCCGATAACCGAGGTGCTTCCTTAGATCCGGCAGGCCTATCGAACCTACTTTTGTTCATCAGTCCTCGGGACCCTTGACCTCGATCATTTCCTTTGTTATTTTGCCTGAGGTTATGTCTCGATTCACTGACTCTGTGGCTTCCGTTGTACGGTTGGTATCGATCCCCGATCAGACCTCGTTCTCGATTAGTATCCCTTCGAACAACGGGTTCAGACCCCAATTGATCATCTTCGACCCTAATTTTTAATTGGTACCGATTGTGCACGTCAGCCTACGTGATGGCTGGGTATTTGATCAGGTTATTCAAACCTTGAGTGAAATCCTGAACAACCCAATCGTCTGTGACTGGTGGCAAGTCCATTCGTTCCATTTGAAAACAAGATACGAAATCCCTCAGCATCTCGTTATCCTTTTGTCTTACCTTGAAGAGGTCCGATTTCCTTGTTGCGACTTTTATGGCACCGGCATGTGCTTTCACAAAAGAATCTGCTAACATGGCGAACGAGTCTATAGAATTTGGTGGTAGGTTGTGATACCAAATCATTGCCCCTTTCGAGAGGGTCTCTCCGAATTTTTTTAACAACATAGATTCGATTTTATCGTCTTCTAAATCATTTCCCTTGATGGCATGCGTGTAAGAAGTGACATGCTCGTTGGGATCGGTCGTTCCGTTATATTTGGGAATTTCGGGCATACGGAATTTTTTTGGGATTGGTTTTGGGCTGCGCTCGAGGGAAAAGGTTTTTGCACGAATTTTTTCGAATCCAATCCTTTTATCATTGGTGGAGCTCCCGGGATCTGATCGATCCTAGAGTTATAAGTTTCTACTTTTTTATCATTGGCTTTGACTCGCTTTGTGAGTTCCTCGAGCAATTTAGTAATTTCGGGAGTAGTCTCCGATTCTTGCTCATTTGACTTCACTATGGCTGGCTCCGTTCTGTGGGTGATTTCCCGAGGTGGACTGGGCTCCGGCCTGCTTTGTAGCTGGGTTTGGATCTGCAACTGAGCTATTGCTGCCTGTTGGGTTTGCAACATTTCGAAAATCATACGCAAGCTAACGTCGTTTTCCTCGACGTTATGGGTATCTCAAGCTGCAGACCGAGTGCCACCATGGATGCTATTCTCGGGTTCAGCATGGAGGTTCGCCTCAATGACTACATGTGAATTGATATCTATTGGCGCTCCGATTCGAGCTCCAACGACGTTTACAAGTGGCCTTTCGGTACTGGGTGTCAAGTTATTGTTCTCATATTGAAGACCGGCTCCGCTGTCGATTGGTGAAGCCATTTTATTGGTAGTTAGTCGTTGCTAACCCGAAATCCAAGATATTTTCGAAACTGAGCGCAAAACACAACAGTGTGTTTCTTCAGATTCGTATCAAATAACCACTGTTATCCTTAGCCCCACGGTGGGCGCCAAACTGTTTACTCGAAAAATGGATGGAGTTGAATTTGTACGTAATTCTAAGGATATGTGGCGCAATTTAATACAAATTGTAAGGATAAATAGAAATATAAATATAGATTGCAAAGAGTGAAAAATAGATAAGGTTGTAAAGAAGATGAATTTTAGGACTCAACAAGTGGAATCAATTTAAGAAGCTTAAAAGAATAATTCTTTACTATGAGAGAATATAGTGTTTTGATTACAATGTAAGCTTGAAAACTTGCCTTTACAGAAATGATAACTATGCCCTTTATAGTAGAGGGATCTTGCTCTAAACATAATTAAAAATACTCAGTGAGAGACCCACGATAAATCAGCTTTTCCACAATTTCTGCCAAGATTCTCTCTAGTGGGATTGCAACGGCTTTTGTCTAAGAGCTCGATCTTGATTTGAGCTCTCGATCTTAGATTGAGCTCGATTCTGACTCGAGCTCTCGATCTTGGATCGAGATCAATTCTGACTTGAGCTCTCGAATTGATTCGGGGTCAATGTTGGTTGGTCTCTAGATCATAAGTTTGATAGCTTTACTTTGCATCATAGTTCGATTTGGATCCGGGCTTGACAATGATATCGAACTCGACATTGATCAGCCCCTCGGATTCGAAGCTTGTTTGTACCATCTTCGTAACCCATCTCGAGGTCTCACTTCGATCGGTTATCTTTCGAACTCGATCAGACGTACGAAGGCCGAAATCTATTTCGACCGTATACATGTTTCCCTAAGGGTGAAGATGGAAGTAGAGTGATGGTTACAACTCTAATTGAACAAGTGGCTAAGCATCTTCAACACCACAGTGATCCTTATTCTCTTAGATTTCTAACATTAGAAGAGAGTTGGGAATTATTGCACAAGAAAGTATTTCAAGGAGAGAGTTGTCCACCCAATCTATTGGAAGCAGGGTTACAAGTTTCGGAACATTGTAAAGGATTGCCTCTTGTAATCGTCTTGATTGCCGGGATTATAGTGAAGATGGAAAGGCAGGCATCCTTTTGGCTTGAGGTTGCAAATGACTTAAGTTCTCATGCTTTAGATGAGCAGAGCATGAAGGTAAGACAATCAAGTTATGAGCATTTAGATGACCACTTAAAACCTTGCCTTCTTTACATGGGCTTGTTTCCAGAAGACTATAAGATTCCAGTATCTGCTTTGCTGAAGTTGTGGATGGCCGAAGAGTTTGTAGTGAATGTTGACACAGAGAATTATATGGAAGAAGCAGGTAGAGTTTGCTTGAATGATCTGCTTAACAGAAGCCTAGTAATGGTCTCTAAAAGGAGACGTAATGGTCACATGAAATACTGCATACTTCATGATGTAGTGCGTGAGTTTTGCTTGGCAAAACTTAGAGAAGAAAAGTTTATGCAGCTTACGATGCCAAACAGTCCATATAAACATTTGTATTATAAGGAGTCGCGGTTATGCATTTATATTCATGATGATCTGGTGGAACAGTTAGATTATTGTGAATATAAGAAATTTTTTCTTGTTATTGGAAAACGAGGAAGAAGAATCTTCAGAAACTTTGCTGGAGAACCTGAAAACATTTCGCAATCTTCGTGTGTACGTGAATGGTAGAAATCCAAGGTTGTGGTGGAGGTTTCCGAATCTTGAAGAGCTAGGTCTCAGCCTTGGAAGTTTACCTAGTCGTTCTTTGTTTCCCATATCGGAAGTTCATACTCGCCTTCAATCTCTCGACCTTGAATGCCCACATTGGACTTATCGCTACTCGTATTCAGTTGGATGGGAGAGCTACTTTGTCTTCCCTTCAAATCTTAGGAATTTATGGCTTCGCAACTTTTCAATAATGAAAGAATTAACTTCAAACATAGCAAGACTGCAGAAGCTTGAGAGTCTCAAAATAATCAGAGGACTACTTTTGGGTAAAGAGTGTTGGGACGTTAGAGAAGTGGAGTTCCAGGCACTCAAATACTTGACATTAGAGTGGATTGATCTAAGGGAATGGAAAGCTTCAGAGGAATCCTTTCCCGTACTTGACAAGCTATTTATAAAAGGTTGTTACTATTTTAAGGAGATCCTTCCTTGTTTTGTGGATATTCCAACACTGCAACTTATTGAATTAGTAGATTGCAGAGTTTCTGTTAAGGATTCAGCTATGAATATTAAAAGAGAAATTGAAGAAACCACTGGATGTGACACTCTCCAACTTATGATCTAAGATTAATCCTTTCATTGTTGGATTTAGATGGAACTTATGATCTGACTTTATCAGTTGATTTATTCTACATATATTGTTAATTGATTTGACTTGTGTTGATTGGATTTCAAATTTCTAATGAGAAGAGGTTGCTTGATTTCTTGTTTTTATTTTTTTATTTTCATGACTCATATATTCTCATCTTCACCGATTGAGAGGGATGATTTGCTTAGTAATGTGTCATGAATTACGAGTAGGTAATCTATATTTACATGTGAGAGCACAAGTCAATAAATTATGTCTTTCATGTTTACGCGTTACAAGATCACCATTAATTGTATAATCGAAATAGGTGCAATCAATTGGTGAGATCGTAATAGTTGGATGTAAACGGGACAAACTCAATTGATTGAAAGCGCTGGATTTTAAGTAATGAAAATCATACAAGGATCATGAGTGAAATCTGAATCCAGCTCTTTCAATCAACTGAGTTAATCATAAAGATGGGATGCAAGTCTTGGTTCCAAAATGTTACTCCATATTTACATCCTCTGGCTTCATATTTTCAGGCAACTTCCAATTGAATCCATGGATCAAATTTGCCAAAGTTGATCGCGCTATTTTAACTCCAGGACTGTAAGCTGGGCACCTTCTTCTTTCTGAACCAAATGGTAAGAGATTAAGGGTGTGTTTGGTATAGCGGAAAATGTTTTTCAAGAAAATATTTTCTTGGAAAACAAGTAGTAATCTTATTCATTTTCCGGTGTTTGGTNTGAAAAATTGAAAAACATTGTCCGCTCCGTACCAAACACACCCTAAAGTTCTGTCCACTTATGAATTATATCAAACTCTTTACTCATAACACCTTTCTGGGATGTATTCATCTGGGAATTCCCAGTTCCTTGGATCCTTCCCTATGCTCCATAAGTTCACCCAAACAGTGGTTCCTTTGGCAATGTCATATTCCAGCTACATTACAATCTTGAGTTGAATAATACAACAATAACAACAACCCAGTGAAATTTCACTAGTGGGGTTTGGGGAAGGTGATGTGTACGCAGATCTTACCCCTACCCCGAATAGATAGAGAGATTGTTTTCGAAAGACCCTCGGCTTAAGAGGACAAAAAGACAAAATGGGGTGCCAAAATGGATGTAACATGTTTCATTCAGAATGGATTCTATATATGGTAGTTGTGTGCATTCGTTCTTGTGCACCTATCTCTCTCTACCGATAACTCTATCAAGCTCTTCCGTTGCCTTCCTCAACACTTTTGTATGTTTGAGAAGTTCTTTAAACGCCCATTCCTGTAGCGTTGCTGAAGTATCTGGCCCCCCTCCCCCGCCAAGAGATCCTAGCATAAGGTATATCATAAAATACGGACACATCAAAACATAATGGTCTTAACTTTTATGGTTAATATCTAAACGAAAAGAGCTAAGCTAAAAGAATGATTATATATGTCGAGCAGGAGAAGTTGAGAGTAACAAACATATATACGTCCTTTATGCTGTCAGTGCTGAGTTTGATCTCAATGTTAGGATCCTCAGCCTGTTGCAACAGGACATCCACCATGTCCTCTGCCACAAAGTTATCAACAACCACAAGGTTAAGAAATATATATCAAGACTCTTATAAAACTGGTTCAGTCTTTTTACATAGCCTTGTACATATATCCAAGAAACCAAGTCATGGTATACAATCACCAAGATTGACCACCCCATTGAGGTAAAACCATTACACAAGCATCTCATGCAAGGCTTAAATCCAATGATACTATAGAATTGGTTGAAATTTTCTTGCTAAAGTCACCATTTTCCATGTAGATGAAAGACTAAAACGCAACAAATTAATGTTCTCCAAGTGTAATTGGCTTCCCTCAGAATACTATCTTCCAATTTCTCATTTATATATATAGCATTTTGCGATGGCCTTCTTCATTCCTAATATTCTTCAACTTTACTACTCCCTTCGTTTCAATTTATGTGTCTTAGTTTGATTGGACACAAAATTTTAAAAAAAGTAAGGAAGACTTCTAAATCTTGTGGTTTTAAACTAAAGGTGTGTATAATGTACCAAAATACCTGCCAAATTGAGCTAAATTGAGAGAGCTAATTGATCATTTCTACACATGCAATCATGTATTCTGACATTGATTCAATTGTCAACCAAGTACAGTAGAGTTACAGAGAAAAGGAAGAAGAAGACGAGAGAGAGAACTTGAGATCAGAATATTCTAGAATCTCATTTCTATATCTAACTAACTGATTATGTTATTCTAACATATTCTTATACACCAACCTTCTCCTCTCTTTTGTGTATTTGCATATTTTCCCCTTTCACTTACTACTATCTCTTATTTAGTCTCTATTATTATAATACTCCCCCTCAAGCTGGTAAGTGGAAGACATCTTCTACTCCTAGCTTGGATAATAGGGACTGATGTTGTGCTGCATTCAAGCCTTTTGTCATCAGGTCTGCTAGTTGCATTTTTGTAGGTATGTACTGAGTTGCGATTAGTCCATTCTTGAGCTTCTCCCTGACGAAGTGACAATCTATGTCAATATGTTTAGTCCGCTCGTGAAATATAAGATTCGCAGCTATTTGCATAGCTGCGTTGCTATCACAATGCAAGTTGACTGGTACTTCGACTTTGTTTCCCAATTCCTCTAGTAGTCCAACCATCCGAAGGATTAGATTATCATGAAACTTTCTCTCCAGTGGCCAAAATGGTCATTGTGAGGACTGTGATAAGTGTTGCAGCCTCCAAAGATTGGCCCTTATTTCAAATGGATATTAACAATGCCTTTCTATAAGGTGATTTATTTGAAGAGGTTTACATGGATCTTCCCTAGGGATTTCACAAACATTGGGAGTACAAGGTGTGTAGATTGTTGAAATTCCTTTATGGATTAAAACATACATCAAGGCAATGGAACATCAAACTCACAAATGCACTTCTACAAGCTGGATACACTCAGAGTGCCCATGATCATTCCTTGTTTACCAAGAGGCATAAAGAAGACATTGTGATAGTCCTGGTTTATGTTGATGATCTTTTAATAACTGGAAGTAAGCAGTCCCCCGTTGAACAAACAAAGGACACTCTGCATAATTCCTTTAAGGTGAAAGACTTAGGGGAACTAAGATATTTTCTGGAAATTGAAGTCATGAGATCAAATAAAGGAGTGTTGCTGAATTAGAGAAAATATGCATTGGAGTTCATCACTGATGCAGGCATGAGTGCTTGCAAACCAGTAGCAACTCCAATATCAGAAACTAACAACAATTGATTATGACAGTCATGTTGGAAGAACAAATGATCCTCAACTTGAAGATGTAGGAGCCTATCAAAGATTTATTGGGAAGCTAATTTACCTCACAATCACAAGACCAGGCATCTGTTTTATAGTACAGGTGTTGGGCCAATTCATGCAACAACCCAAGAAGTCTCACCTAGATGCAGCCATGAGGGTTGTAAAATACATCAAATCAACAACTGGATTGGGGATACTACTGAGAAGAGGACAGACATCAACACCCACAACCTTTTGTGACTCAGATCGGGCAGCCTGCCCCAACACAAGAAGATCTATGACAGGGTATGTTGTGAATCTTGGGGATTCTATGTTGTCATGGAAGTCCAAGAAGCAACATACAATTAGTAGAAGCTTGACAGAAGCAGAGTATAGAAGTATGGCAGCTGTGGTGGCAAAAGTCGTGTGCATGAGCTTCTAGAATAATACAAATAAAGATTTGAATAAAATTTAAGTTGTTTGAAATATAATACGCAGCTGAGATAATATAGAAGGGGACTTCAGAACTGCGAATGATGTGCAGTTATACCTCAAGTCTCCACTAGTAGCTGTATCCGGGCAAGTCTACAGTACGCTGCTGGGACCAACTCCGAAATCTGTACAAGAAATGCAGAGTGTAGTATCAGTACAACCGACCCCATATACTGGTAAGTTCCGAGCCTAACCTCGACGAAGTAGTGACGAGAAGGCAGGTCACTTACATTAACCTGTACGCGATAATAATAATAATAATAATAATAATAATAATAATAATAATAATAATAATAATAATAATAATAATAACGAGAATAGTAGTAAGACTAGTAAATAATATTAATAATTGAAGTCAATTCAGCAGTCACAATCCCTCAACTTATTTCCATTGCGGCGTGTAATCCGTTTCTCCGTATAAACTTTAAATAAGTCTGTTGCGGCGTAAAACCCGATCCCCCAATATAGATTTTAAATAAGTCTGTTGCGGCATGCAATCCGATCCCCACAATATATTTACTTTCATTTCCGTTGCGGCGTGCTACCCGATCCCCCAATATATTTTAACAACTCTTAAATGTAATAAATATTACTCCAATAAATACCACGTTCGATGAGAAACTATTAAGCATCAAAGCATGCAATAATTATAATTTATTTATGAAACATACATTGGCAAGTAGCAATTAATTATGGAAATCAGGGAGAAAATATGCTGTTTAATATTTAATATGCTAAAAGTCAAATAGCAATTAAGACACATAAGTCAAATAAGCATGTAACAATTATTGAGTGAATTCAAGAATTAATATTTGATAAGGAATGTGAGTGAAACAATTATTATAATGATTAATTCGTGTATTAAAATAATTTAAGATGTTTAAATAATTAAGCAAATAATTATTGACAAAGTATATGCACTCGTCACCTTGCCTATACATCGTTACACATGAAATTCACATAGCAAATAATTCAAGGGTTCTATTCCCCCAAGTCAAGGTTAACCACGATACTTACCTCACTTTGAACCAAATTCAAAAATCCAATAAACCTTTGCCTCGCGAATTCGTGTCTGAAATCGTCAAATCTAGTTATAAACAATTCAATATACTCAATACAAATCGCAGGAATTAATTCCATATGAATTTATAATTTTTTTCGGATTAAAATCCGAAAATCATCTAAAAAATAACAGTGGGGCCCAAATCTCGAATCCCGAAACAAACTCACAAA